CCCCAAAACCCCAAAACCCCAAAACCCCGAGAGTTGTGCATAAATCGAAAAAATTGAATTAAATAAAACAATATATTAATGAAGATATAAGTAAATGATTACCATAACTATCTAGGAAAACTATATAAGTGAAATTCATATTTTTTATAGAATATTTGAAAATCTGCTTTGTGTTAATCTTATTTCAAATAAATTTTTTCTTCTATTCTCTTCTTATCTAAAAGGATTTTTAGAGTCCTACTCTATATTATTCGATGGAGACTAAATTGTTGAATTTGATATCTGTTAACTTTTATTTAATAAATCGGGACCATTGTATGAGTTATATCTTCTATTCATGTAATTGCCATATCGACCTCCATAAACAGAATTAGAACTATCAGCTCTCTTTCCAAGTTTTCCCTCACTAATCCTCTTTATGACCTGCAACTCACTTTCCTCTTAAAGACTAATTTGTTCTTCCTCTGACTAATTATCTTATTTATGTATCTCAAATGGATTTTTATCAACTTCAGATTTTAGCATAAATGGAGAAGAGTCTGAAGTGCTCTTTGATGAGCTCTTTTTTCGGTTAGTTTTAATAGATAAAAATTCTGTTTAGGAGGAGATTGTTTCAGTTACTCTCTCTTTGGGATTATGAAAGCTTTAAAAAGAATCCTTATCAATTGTTGTTGTAGATTGTATTATTTAATTATCCCCTTTGTCTTGATTGGACATTGTTTTTTATAGAGGGTATCATTATCCCATTGCTAGATGCCTAAATGTTGTATCTTTACCATTGAATAATGGATTAGATTAATCTGGATTTCTTTTCTGGTGGGATTTATCCGAGCATGAAGTTTCACTAAAATATTTTCTTTAACATTTATAGCACTTACAGTTCTTGTATCGAAATTTATAAATTTTATCTAACTTTCTAGTCATAATTTTCTTCTTTTTGATTAGGGCTTTAGGGAGGGTTTACTATTATTGATTATCTATCTAAGTTCTCATCATTCTATTCTAATTTATCGGATCTAGTTTCATCATTGTCTATTTAATTTAGTAATTTACTCAAGCTTTGCGATTATTAGCTAATTATGTTAAGCGCTCCTCCACTTTGTTTACCATATTTGGGAGTGAGAGCACCCTTAGACTTTTAAAGCAGAGGTCTTTATAGAGTTTTAGGCTTATCAGTTATGGGAATGACCTGTGGGGACAAAGGCTCTTTTGGGTTTGTACTTTATAATGTGATGCTTGTATCTTCAACCTATAAAATCATTTTATTTCTTGATTAATACAAGTTAATGCAAGTTCCTTGATTTTCTCTATCTAGGAAGGAGTAGGTTTGAGTTTTGTTTTAGTTTTTCCTGAAATAGCTATGAGAATAAGTTTAAATATATATTCTTACCTTTCTCTTGTGATTTTTTATAAGTATCAATTTGTAATTTACTATTTGATTTTAAAGAAAACTCTCGGAATAGACAGACATTTTATAATTTTTAATAACTCTTTTAATAATAAAAAAATTCATATTTGATTTTCTAACTCTTACACTATTCACTTTAAACTATTAATTATTCATCAGCGGGGTTTTGGGGTTTTGGGG